CGGGCAGGGGGCGGTGGATGCGACCCCGGAGGCCCCGGGAAGGGCTGGCTGTGGGTCCGCGCTCAGGGGCGGGCCCGGGGGCCCTGTTAGGTGATGCGGGGTCTTGTCCGGGTTTCGCGGATCCCCAGGGTCAGATGTTCGGTTGGGACGGTTCCTAATGAGAAAGCGCAGCCTCGTGTATCTGCTCGGAGTCTTTCGGTTTCTCCATCCAGATGTTGGATGTTCAAGTCTCAGGCTTAGAAAAATAAGGATCGGCGCAGGTCATCTTGGTACAAATCAGACCCTGTGCCGGGCGAGGGGTGCAGAGGTGGGAGACGGGCCCTTCCACCGGCTGTTCGCACGCCCCGCGCTGGTTTACGCGCGGCTGCGTCTGCGGGAGCCGGATCCGTGGGAAAACCCGCGTGGGGAAGGGAGGGGCGAGGATGGCGGCCGCTGCTGCAGTGGCCGCGGGGCACCCCTGCCTGAGGCTGTGCATGAAGCAACAGTTCTCAAAGTGTGTTCAGGGCCCCTGGACGATCAGCTTTGTAGTAATACCAGGATGGTATTTGCCTTTTTTACTCTTTTTCTCCCACTGTTTTACTTCGTGGTTTTTTTCCGGAGACCACCTGTGATATCCCAACACATTGAATGCAGCAGGAGGTATGAGCATCCCACTATCACCAGACGGAAAAACTTACAAACACTGCCGCTCTTCTCACCAATTATTTTTGTTTTAAAAAATGTACTTTTCATTTAAAAGTGTTAATGGTAGTAACGCGGAATAGGTTTATTGTTATTTTGAGGTGAATTAATTACATACTTTTTAATGTTCCTATGTTGTATTTTAATGCAGGAATTATCTGTTTATTTTAAGCCACACAAACAACAGCCTTTTGGGGTCCTCAGTAATTGTTAAGAGTGTAAAGTGGGCTGTAGACCCAAAAGTTTGAGAACCACTGGAGGGCTGATTCTCAGGTTCTGGTCACTGAGACTGTTGGCCTTAGTTGTCAATTATTGCTACTTGTTAAATGTTGCTCTGACTTGTGAGCTCTGTAAGTCTTAGGTCAGATGGAAGTGGGTGGGCAGCTGCCTCCACTTTACACACTAGAAGCTGTTGAAAGCCCCAAGGTGGGCAATCATCTGTGGATTGCTGGTGTATCCGGGTTTTCTGTCCAGAGGCCTCCTCCCTGAAACACCGCTGTCCTGCTCCTCCCTGCCAGGTATCTTCTGTATGACGTCAACCCCCCAGAGGGTTTCAACCTCCGCAGGGATGTCTACATTCGAATAGCTTCCCTCCTGAAGACCCTGCTGAAGACTGAGGAATGGGTGCTGGTGCTGCCCCCATGGGGCCGCCTCTACCACTGGCAGAGCCCCGACATTCACCAGGTCCGGATTCCCTGGTCTGACTTTTTTGATCTTCCAAGTCTCAATAGAAACATCCCCGTCATTGAATATGAGCAGTTCATTGCAGGTGAGGTGGTGGTTCTGGTGTGGATGGCAGGCCAGGCCAAGAGCTCGGCCAGCAAGCTGTCCCATTGGGCCTGTTGTCGTAGCCTTTGCTCTATGGAGGGGCCCTGTATTCTTTCGTTTCCCACACTATCTGTGATCTTGGTCTTGCCTTAATTTTTCTAGGGAAGTAGATCTGAAGTGTATGAACTCTCTGCCCCTTCACCTCTGACAACTGTGGCAGCCTGGGGAGTCAGGGAAGTGCAATTAGAGCTACTATGAGAAAGCCACTGCCACGGAGGTCAGGACTGTCCTAGCGGGACTCAGCTCCTTGTGCAGAAGAGGCCATTTTACTTGAAGGACGACACCACTCGTGTGTGGCACTGACCTTGTGACGTCCACTGCAGTGCTGGTGAAGACTTGTAACGATGCGTTATTTAGTCCTGCTTGAAGATTTTCTTAGAATAAAGGTATTTAGAGCTTACTGTTACTTTGTTTAGAAGACATAAACTGAACAAATCAGTGATATCTTTTTTTTCCCCCCCGCTTCCCTAGAGAGGCCTAGAAGAGCCAGTCAGTCTTTAGGCCACTGATACACTGTTATGTTTACTGATGAGTCACAATTTCTTAAGCTACTGATAGTCTGTAACAGTCATTGGTGGGTCATGGTTTCTAAGCCGGTGATACTCTAACGCTGATTGACTTCCTACTCTTCAGGGACCTGGACAGCTTAGAATTGGTGCTCACACTGAGGATGGTGGCTCGTACATCTTCATTTTTCAAGTATTATTGTCGCTGCATCTTAGACCCTCTCACTGATATGTTTCTGTGTCAGAGTCAGAGTCAGCACTGTGAACGCTGAAATCCCAGAACAACATAGTATCTTCTTGAAAAAGGCAAACTCTGAGATTGCCTTTCTTGGACAAACTCCAAAGCATTCTTGGAGCTCTTTCTCCTGCAGCCTGAGGAGATGTAGCCAGGTGTTTAGTCGACTTGACTTAGCCTGGGAAACTGCCTGCCCTGGTTCTGAACCCGGGTTACAGAGCCTCCCAGAGAACCTGCCCTTCACCTTCTTGCGGAGTGGGGTGGTGGGTTTCCTGACAGGTAGGCGCAGTGACGGGTCTGGGCCTTCGCCACTTGAAATCGTGCTTAGTGACTGGAAACTGTGGGTGTATGGGTATAGGAGACAGGTGTCCTCCCTGCTGTTTTCTGATGTTCCCCGGAGCCGGAGCAGCCCGGGGGGAGGGAAAAGGGAGTGCTCTGGATGATGTGCTTGGAGGCAGGCAAAACGGCTTTGCCTCCACCCTGTCCGACTGGCTGGCTCTGCTCAGCTGTTTCCTCCCCTACAAAGGGGGACAGGCATGGGTGCCCATCCTAGGATGGGGTGCTGGGGGTGTGCAGTAGAGCACCTGACCACATAGCAGCCTCCCTGTGCCTCATCACTTTCTCCTCACTGTAAGAGGAGCCCCTGGAGCTCTGGCATCAGGTACCCCTGCCACTACCATGCAGATGTCAGTGCCCAAGTGAGAGTGAATGCGGGAAAGACACCAGAATTTCACTTGCTGTGGCACTGTTGTCACTGGGCTCGTTTGTTCTGTCTTTGAAAAAAATCTTTGACCACCACAGATGTGGCCAACACATCCTGGGCATGGGTGGGAGCAGTGGGTAAGAGGGACACA